ATTACAAGGCGAACTCCCAACTCTTGAGCCACGATCGCCCAAGTTTACATACTCTGGTATATGCATATAGATGATAAAAGAAAAACATTTCTTTCACTCATGGTTAGTGGTTGGCTGATGCCATTTATTGTCAAACAACTGCAGGAAAAGGTAGTTGACTTCTATAAAACAGGACAAGGAAATAAGAAAATATCAGCAGTGTCAAACTCCAGTTAAGAAGTGAAAAATGGGGGTTCTGCTGAAACCAAACCACAGTCAAGTAGACCAACTAAAATTTCAGCCACAACTGCCAGACAAATTGTTTGGGATGCAGCTCCCCCAATCAGAAGCAGGACCTGCAGACTCTTAAAGGTGCCGAACACTCATACACAACAGACCAGACATACTGACACACCGATTCAAAACATGGCCAGGGCCACATAACAGAGTAAGCCAGAATGAGACTAGGCAAGAAAAGAAAATGAGAATTTAGAGGACCCAAGGCTTGGATTTTTAAAGCCATCAACTGCTGACATCCAGAACAGTCTGTGCTTCAGCATGCTTACTTTGTTTTTGGCATTGACGTCCACACCCTTCTTGATGAGTTCTTGCATTTTCCATGTGTCATTTCTTTTGGCAGCATCGTGAAAATCCTTTTCAGACCACAACACTGAAATCAGACAAAGAAAAAACCTTAAGCGTCAAATCTGTGCTGGAGTTGAAATGTCATTTGCCACCTTTGAACCTAACCCCACCCATTGCATAAAAGTTAATAATCCAAGAAAAAGTTTACAAGAGGAAGACGGGGGTGCAGAAAGAGTTAAATAAGCTACATGAATGTGTGAGCCTGAGCATCACTCAGGCTCACACATTCATGTAGCTTATTTAACTCCACAGGTAAATGGCCTGAGCCAAGTGGCACCAAGTGGCACAACAATTCACTTCTGCCACAGTTTCTTTTGGCATAAAGGGACTTTAGCATGACATTCAAGTTCCAGCACCACTCTGCTTGAAGCTAAAACTAAGTCTTTGATCTCTATTGGCATTCATGACCTGTGCTACCATTTGTAACTGTGGAGACACGTATGGCTGCAAAGGAAATGAATTTAGTATGGTTGTTAGCTGTACTTTCTTTCACCCTCATGTTGTGTTCTGGTCAAATTTGACTGATTTAAAACATTTAGCTTTGAAAAAAGTTTCATCAGACTGACCTGAACATTCCATGACTTTGTCCACAAAAGAGTCCACACACTCAAACGCAAAACACACTCCTTGGGTTCCCTGGCAACCACTACAGAAACATTTTCCCTAGTAGAGCCTCTCTTCCACGGAACAACTCCAACTGTGTTGGCAGTTCTCACAAACAGTTGAAACATTGTTTCAAAGGCATCAAACTTGTTTCATAAATTTGGTTTATAATACTTTTTTGGAAGCACAGCCCCCCCAAAAAAGCATAGAGGCAACTATGTGGCAACACCAGGGCAGGTTGATATACCCTAAGTGAGGCTCTTGATTACACAGTTGATCACTACACTGGTGAGGACAAGTGAGAGAATGAAACTGACAATGAGGATGAAATAGAGGAGGAAGTGTCAGAAGCTAAAGACAGCACTGAATATAATTTGTGCAATCCAGACCAAGATAAGATGAGGAGGAATTCAGTGATGAAGATGACGCTGCTGTCACATTCAAGAACTTCAGGAACTTATCCCCACCTGACAATCACGTTAGGTTTTCTGCTGAAAATTTCATTAGAACCTGCAAAATTTGCTGTATCCTGGATGATGACATCAAATCCTGCTTCGAACAGTTACTGACTGTGTTGATCTAAACCATAGCGGCAAACTTTGAAGGGGAAACAAAAACAGAGTTACAAAGAAAGTTGGAAGGAAGTAACCCAGAAACAGATCAAAGCACAGATGAATCTTTGGATGTTGAGTAATGAATTCAGATCCAGAAATATTCAACCGGCAGTTTATGGGATGCAGCGTCTGGTCAGTCAATGTTTCAGGCCACCATGTCACTCCAATAATCTTACATGTTGTTTCGGGTGATTCTCTTTGACAGCCACGATACAGCACCAGGTTGTCATCATGAAGACAAACTGGCGGTGATCAGAGAGGTCTGGGGCAAGTGTGTGGAGTGCCAGCCACTATATTTCAAGTCCAAACGTCACAGTGAAGGAGCATCTGCTGGCTTTTAGGGGACACTGCCCTTTTAAACAGTA